AAGTGAAAACGTGCTATGTAGGGTCAATTTTCCCATTAAAAATAATAAAAAAGGTGGGGATTGCATTTCAGGTGGTGGTGGCAAAGTCCATTTTTTGGTCGGTGCTGGGTCGTCAATGTCAACATTAGATATCTAGCAACACAAGTCGCCGCGGTTTGTTAAAACACAAAGATGAAATGTGAGTGAGCAGAGGACCGCTGTGACCATGTGTATTCATCTACTCATGAGTATTGCCACTGTTTTCACCAATTTATACAGCCGCACGAAGTAGTCTGCCACTTGATTATTTTTTGTGTTTTTTCGGGAATGGTGTTGTTCAAAAAACATTCCCTAAAAAAATTGTGCTATTGCAAAAAGTGTTAAGTGGGCACATGTTAAACGAGTAATTACAGTAGACTTCCGATAATCCGGAACCTATGGGACCTAGAAGGTGCCAGATTATCAAATATGCCGGACTATCAGGAGGTACTAGAAGGTGGTTATATATATACTGTATACGTTATATAACCCTTTTTATTGTACATACTGTATACAGTATACTGTAATGTTTTAGTTTTTTTTAAGCCTTTTTTATCCTTTTTGCTCAGTTCAGCTGCTGCCGCTGTTACCTTATGACTCATTTTTTTGTCGAAGCTCACTCACTAGGCTCTTGCCATTTTGATGCCGGGCTATTGGCGTTTTACTGTACTATATTCGGAATTTTATCTGCACGGAGACCAAAATACTTTTAAAAATACGTAGTTGATTTTTCAGATTGTAATAAAAAATGAAGAAAATAAAGTTTTGAAATTTTAGAAAGTGTTTTGGAAACTGTTACCCTATACATAATTTGCATTATAGTACATGGGTAATATGATGATAGTAGCTGCAGCTCAAGTTAAAGCTGCACTGAGATTTATTTTCCTCTTAAATAGGCGGAATATTTACCTTACATATTTGGATCAAAAATCTTTAATCTTAAGTTTAGGTATTGAGCATGACCTTGTGCTGTTTGTACCTTGCAGAAAATCATTCCCAAAATTCAAACTTTAGGAAATCAAGATGCTGACTTTGAATGGAAAGTGTCTCCTTAATCTATCTCCTTTGATTCCTGCCCTAATTCCTTCAGGGAGTTCACAGGACTGGATGCCCCCCAGTGTCTGCAAACCTGAAGTAAATAGATCAGTGGTGCTGTATGGAGCCCAGTGAGGATCTGAAGGCCTGTATTATAGGAATGCTGAATCGGAGCGTAGGTGGGCACAGAATGCGGAGGTTTGTTTAGGGAAAGGTAAAATATTATAATATTCCCAGTTTCTAATGTCATGTATATTTGGGAGGGCGGAGTTTCAGGTAGTGTAGATATGCTGGCTGGGAGGTGTCACTCTGTTTCCTGGTTTTCTTATTTTGAGTTCCAGGAATTAAATTCTCATGTTCTGGAAGAAGCCAAGGGCAGTGCTGAAAGCCTACAATCTTATTTTCTCCTTAAGAAAGGTTTTGCTTATGAGTTTCTCTCTTTTTGAGAATGTTGGGATCACAAAGGGACAAGGTTGAGGGCCAGCTCCAGAAAGAATGGCTCAGTATCATGCTTGTGGTATGCAGAATTTTTCAGCTCTGAGCTCTCTGCTTCTCCAGTAAAGTACTGAGTACATGCTTGGGGAGATTCCTATTGTGAGGAAGGGGAGGTGGGTGAGATTGCAGTAATACAGATCCCCCTTGCTGCCAGCCTCGCTGCCCTGCCAGTCCCCCCCACCTCCTTCCCTGCTAGGCCAGGCAACCCAGCTCCCTCTCTGCTGGGTAGCCCCACTGTGGAGTGCTGTGCTCCTGGCCCCACCCGGCAGCCTTCCACTGGGACTCTCTGGTTCTGGAACATCCATGGTCCTGCCAGACGAGGGATGTTGCCGGACTAGGGAGTCCCAAATTACAGAGATTCAGCCCGTAGTACATTGCTATTTTACAGAAAGCATAATACTGGCCCCAGGCCTGCTATTTCCCCAAATATCCTTCATGTATCTCTTCTGACTCCCTTTCTCCTTTTCAGCAACATGTGATTGGTACAGATTTTCCATCCTCCCCCTTTCCTTGAGTCTCAGATTCTCAGCACCAAATCAGCCAAAATTTGTAGAGACCAAATCTACAGCTGGGGAGAAACATTTTTATTTTTAGCAACTAAGCAGGTTGGACAAGGTCCCACAGTCAGCAGTAGAGCAAGTGTCTGAGATCCAGGTCATTCCATTAATCATAAGACCATCCTTTTGCCTAATCTTTCAAGAAGTTGGCGGAGCTACCCCAAAATTGCATTTTAAGCAATCTGTCCAAAATAACACATCTTCACACTAGTTGACAAGTTGCTCCCCCACTCCTACTGCTTCTATCAGAAAAAGCTGGGGGAGGAAGAGGAAGTGCTTCAAAACGGCAGCACTGTGTGGAGCCCCGCTGACCCTGGGTTCCGTGTGTCGTTGCCGCTTTGAAACGGTATGAAGCCAGTGGGGGACTGCTTGAATCCCCCACTAGTCCCGTGTTCCCCACAGCGCTTTCGCCCCTGGGGCTGTTGCTACATTTCAAAGGTGGAGGCGCCCTTCTCGGGTAATCAAATAGTTGATAGCAAATTGCATCTAAATTTAACACCCCTAGTCTGCAGACTGAACCTGGAACAGAATCCAAGTTTTCAGCAGCCTTAGTTCATCTCATTACATAGTGATTGTCTTTTGTCCTCCACATAATCGGTGGGTTCTGGCTTTGGCCATAAATTCCTTGCTGAATCTGAAAACCCTTTGAGATTAAAATTGAGAAACTGATGCGTTCTTGTGCTTCTGATTAATTGGATTTTTTTGCCAAAAATAATTTAACTGGAAAATTCCCGTCCTCCTTTTATCACTACACCAGTATTTTTCAAAGTAGTCGATAAAAATTCTATTGACTACTCAATTAGTGTGAACCAGGCCACAACTTCCTGCAGATCCCCTTGGCTGCAAACGGTGAAACAGAGCCAATAGGAGCTGCAAGGCTCTGTGGCTGCGGTGCCAATAAGTAAATTCACTGGAGCAGCCAGTTATCAGGTTTCTCAAAGTGGTTTTGTGGAAACACTACACTACACTGATTGACCTGCCTGATTCCATTTGGCATATGCCTTTCAAAAGGCATTCGTGGCTCAGTGTATGAAATTTGAAGTCTTGAGCCTGTCTTACCAGAAACCAGGATATGAATCCCAGATGTGCCTGAATTGACCTTGTGCAACCATTGCTAGTTAGCTAAAAACTTTAGTAGCTGTCAAGTATACATGAATAGTAAGAAAAACTAGTAAAGGGAGGTGACCTTCTTTCTTGATCTTTGGATTTGTAGATCTTCGTTCGCTAGGCTACAACATATTGTACAGGGACAATATCTTACTGTGATGCACGGTGGAGGTTGGGCCAGGCTGATAGCTCACATGTGCATACTTGACAGCAAGTCCTAGCTCAGTGGCGCACCGTAGCCAAAACATACCAATAATTGCCCTTCAATTATTTTTCAGATATAATTGTAAAGGTTGATTACCTGTAATTAGTTGAAGATATGTAGTACATGTTGGACCTCTCAGGTCCAGCACTGTCTGAACCCTGAGCTGTCCTGAACCAGGGAGTTGCTTGTACCAGGGAAGGTCAATGCTCCCAGTATTGGGGCTCCCACTCACTGCTGCCAGAGATTCCTTGCTTTCCCCTGTCGGGACTACCCCAACACTACCAGTCCTGCTCAGATGACAACGCCTTGCTGCTGCTGGGGATTGCCCAGGGCTCTCTGGCCAAGGCTTTCCTGCTGCCACCTGGTCCCACTGCTGCCAGAGGTTCTCTGGCTGGGGCTGCCCAACCACCCCAACCCCACTGCCACTGGAGGTTCAGGGGGTTCCCTAGCTAGGGCCACTTGGCTCGCTGCCACTGGGGGTTTCCTGGCTGGGACCGGCTGGCCGTCACTGGCCCCAGTGCTCTGGCCAGTCCTGCTCCCACTGGGACTTCCCTGGAGCTGCCTGGCCCTGCTGTTTCAAGGTATTCCCCAGATGGGGCAGGAATTCCCAATTTGCTGCCTGGCCCTGATGACACTGGTGGTTCCCTGGCCAGGCCAGGGGCTCCCTGTTTACTGCCTGGTCTTGCTGATGCCTGGAATTCCCCAGCGGGCCTGGGGCTTCCCCGCTGCTAACTGGTCTAGCCACTGCTGGTCCAGCCAGGGTTCCCTAGTCCTGCGTTATCCCAGCTGCCTCCCACTCTCCATCTCCGGGGGCTATTTGGTCCAGCAACATCTGTGGCGCTGCTGGATTTGGGAGGTTCGATCTGTATCACTAGGTAGAATTCTGAGGCAATTCTGCGTTGTTAAAAAGTCGTCGTCCTTTGGTATATATGGTTGTGACTACTTTCTTCCACTATTTGATCTGAGGAAGTGGGTCTGGCCCACGAAAGCTCATCATCTAATAAACCATCTTGTTAGTCTTTAAAGTGCTACATTGTCCTGCATTTTGCTTCAACTACCCCAGACTAACACGGCTACATTTCTATCACCATTTGCTGTATGTTCTCTTAAATTTAACATCAGTTTAATATTGTTGTCTGGGACAAATAATTAAACAAGTTTTTTGTTGTTGTTGTTGGTTTCTTTGAAAGAAGTTTTCCAAGGTAAAGCTCACATATTCAGATACTAGTACTAAATTGTTAAATGGCTGTATTAAATGTAATGCAGAAAATCCTACACATTTTACATACTTTTTTCTTCTACATAAGACCTTTTGGCTGCAGCTGATTTTTTTTTCATATAATTTTCTTTCATATGCTAGCTTTGTACTATTCTCTTTTATATGGCATGTGTAACAATTGTGCAGCTAGATATAGTTCTAGCTGTGTGGAGTTGTACATTTATTATATGCATCTGAATTTTTAAATTCTAAACTGGTGGGGGGAGAGTACATTTGAATAAAGTTCATCTTAAATTGTTGCAAAAGCTAAAACAATGGATGTCGGCAGTCCACTAACTTGTATTAAAATCTTTTTCCCCTTAAGGCAAGAAATTCTGAAGTGGAATGGATGGGGATATAATGATTCCAAATTTATATTTAATAAGAAGGGACAAGCAGAGTTCACAGGAAAAAGGTAAATCAAATACCTGGCATCACTGGAATGTGTCTGTTATGAACTTTCTTGTTTTCAGCATTTATTTTTGATAATCTATATTTTGATTTAGAACAGTACACAATATATGTGAGAGGTGTTTTTTTGTCGTTTATTTGTTTTTGTTTTTTTGTTTGTTTTGAGGGGGGTGCACATCCTATAGAATAAGCTTAAAATGTTACTGTTTGCATTTTTGTGGATAGTAAAATAAACCTTCATTGAGGGTTAATTCTTTTCATGTCTTATTAAAAGCTTAAATGCTTTTTAGAGGACAAGCTAAGCAAAATTAGCCTTTCCCATAATTTCAGGTAATCACCAAGCTGAAGATGTAACTTTGTCTAGAGTCTCCATTATAATACTCACTGATCTAAGATTTGATCAGTATGTAATACAATAAACTGTATTCATGTATAGACATTCCATTGGTGGTCATAAAATATTCCTTAGATCAGAGTTGTGGTGAGGATAAATACATTAGACTGTGGGATGACCAGATGCTATTGTAATATGGGGATACATAAGTACCCAATATATAGATCTTTACTAGTCAAGTGATTCTCCGTTTGACTAGCAGAGGCTCCCAATGTGGGGGTTAACACAAATATGTCACCCTTCTCTCATCTGGCAGGCTAAATTGGGGTGCCATGTGGGAAGACTATGCATCAGGGTGATGCAGAGTTTGGGTGGGGTTTAGAGGATCCTTTGAGCTGAGGCTTTTTTAGGGCTGTTAAGAATGATGCCATATCCATTTGACTAGAATAGCAGCCATGCACAGATACTGTGCTGGAGAAAGGTGTGTGGATTTTTTTGTTTTGTTTTGTTAGACCCCTGGTTCTCTTGGCTCGTTTTAACCTTTAACCATTTCTGAGACACTTGATAATTAATATAGCTTCTTTAACTTTTTTGGATTCCTCTCTCGACAAAATTCATCTAGCTATCCCATATTGCTTTATTGGCTATATAGTAAGCGGTGCTAAAGAAACTTAAACACACAACCTCTTGGTTAAAATGAAACCTTAAGACTGTCTTAATCAGAGTTATCACTATATAATTTTATCTAGGTTAATGAATGATCTAAACTTCTAAAATAGTTTTATCAGACTACAACTCTGTAGTAGTAAAATCAATCTAGAGGATGGTAAGAATGTACAGCAGTCTCCAGAGAAACTATTTTAATCATGACTAGTACAGAATTAATATTTTTCTTAAGTAAAATCACACTTTGGCAATGTGAAATTCTACATCTTCACTTCTGTGTGTATGTATATTTAGTTTTATGTATGTATTGTTGATTGGCTAATTATCTTACATAAACACAAAGTAATTCAGATTACTTTACTTGATAAAGTCACTTAGCAACATAAATACTAAATTTGTGCAAACACAGTAAGAAGGAATCAATGGGAAGGTGTTTTGAAGCCAATTCAGTTTATCTACAAATTCTACCACATTTTTTCTAAACATTTTGGACTATGGTCTTCATCTTGTACACTCTTCATATTTCAAATGGTTTTCAGAAACATAATTGCTGTGGCTTATTTTTAATATCTGGAAAAAAAACTTTAGTGTGAACCAATGTGAAGCCAGAGCTTAATTTGAAAATTATTGGCATTAAGCATGAGTATTATAGCACCAAAATATGCTAAGCGAGTTAGCACAATCTCTTTTACAAAGATTAGCTGTTAGCATTAATGGAAGCAACTTCTGTAACATACTAAATGAATTTCAATTTTGAGTCAATCATAAACTAAATTTAAACTTCATAATGGGTTTGTCATTTCAATGAGTAAAATGAAATTGATCTAAAGCAAAGTTAACTATTAAAAGAAATTTAATTAAGAAAAACTCTAAAAGAAAATTTGACTCTTCTAGACTAGACTTTAATTTTGAAATGTTTATATTATGCATACTGACTGTGGGGACGTATTTTCCAGTCAAGCAAACTGTGAAACAAGCAGTCTATTTAAAGGCGAACTAAAAAGTAAAATAAAGTTTTGCCTTTTTTGTTTAGGGTTCATAAAGTCAAATTTTTATTTTTTCTTTATAATAATTAGTCTTGACTTTCTGCATTGGAGAACCCTTTGGGCTTGTGGTGAACATTCTAAGAGAACAAAATCTAAGCAGTTCAGTGGGGAAAAAAGATTTTTAATAAGATTGTAAAACTTTTATTTACTCAGTTCTGACACTGAAGAAAAGTTGAAAGATTCAAATCCTGTTCTCTAATGATGGGAAGGGGTAGGGGAATTGTGGAGTCTAGAGAGTCTGTTAGTAAAATTGGGAATGTCAAGATCTAGAATGTTGTAGGGATGTAAAAAGTCATTTAAAAAGGTAACCATTTAACCGCCAAAAATCTTAGAGGTTATGTGCGCTGCAGCTTCTGCAGTACAGTAGACTTCCGATAATCCGGTACCTTTGGGACCCAGGTGGTGCTGGATTATCAAATATGCCAGACTGTCGGGAGGTACTCCAGTGGGGGGGCTGTGACAGGTCTGCCGGGACCTGCACTGCCTCCAGCAGGGGTGGGAGGGCGGGGGCTCGGCAGGGAACGGCACGGCGAGGACCAAACCCTCCACCATTTTGCAGGGAGGCAAAGCCTGCAAGTGGTGGTGGCAGAGAGGGGGCCAGAGGTAGGCAGCTGCTTCAAGAAGTTGTTAGTCAATTACACTACCACCGCTCTTTTGATCCTGGACTATAGGGAGTCTACTGGTAAAAGCAGCAGGGACAGGGAGGGGAGAAGATCTCTTATCAGTTTCAGCAGCAGCCTTGCGGATCCACCTGTTCCTACCACCTCCTCCCCTTCACCCTCTCCCCCCCACCAGAGGCAGTAGAGGAAAGATAAATTGCAAGCCTGTCACCTGCAGTTCCACCCAGTGGTAGTGTAATTGACTAACAACTTGTTGAAGCAGCTGCTGGAGCACTTCCGGGTTCCAGTTGGTGCTGGACTATCGAGAGTGCCGGACCACTGGACAATTGGAGTTTTACTGAATAAAGTTTTAACTATATACTGCAGAGCCTGCAACGAAGCCTCCCTGGGAGCAGGGTTGGCAAGGGCTGCTGGCTTCACTCCTGGGGAGCCAGAGTTTGTAACTTATGTTTGGGGGGTTGAGCCCATCATGGGCAGAGGCTGCTCCAGCCTGCAATAGGCCCTGTGGGGCTGGAGCAGCCCCCTGCCCAGTGTAGGCAGGGAGCTGTCCAACCCTTAACGGTTAACCGGAACTGGTATACAGTTAACTTTCAACATCCCTAGTATGTTGAAGGGATGTAAAGACCCATTTAAAATGTTAACCAGTTAATCAGTATACAGGCAGTCCCCGAGTTACGCGGATCCAACTTACGTCGGATCCGCAGTTACGAACGGGGCCTGTCTCCCTGGTCTCCAGCAGACCAGGAAGAGGAAGCAAAGCGGCGGAACACGCGGGCAGCGGACAGGGCTGTCCGCTGCCCACGTGCTCCGCGGCTTGGCTCTGCTTTGCTCTGCTTTGCCCCCCCCCCAGTCTGCAGTCACTATCTTGTACGTAACCCGGGGACTGCCTGTAGTTAAATGTATGTTAAACCTGTATGTTGTTTGTTGACCAAAGATAGCGAATTATTAAGTTTGGTTTAGCAGTGTTCTTTTCTGATTTTCCAGTGAATTATGAATTTTTTAGGCCCTACATTTTTTCGTAGGCCCTAACCATTTTTGTAGGCCCTAGACACTGTGCCTATTGTGCCTACTGGCTAATCCAGCCCTGCCTGTCAATGGACAAAGAGGAGGTGAAATTCAGCCAATACCAGATATGAAGGCAACCCCTGCTATATAAAAACTATTCTTGAAGTAATTCATAGGCTGACTTGACACCATCAGGATGGGTCTGACTTAACAGCTTCCTGCCTGCAGTAGAGCAGCCACAGACAGAGGGGTGCTCAGCCCAGCTGGATCCACTGCGTTGCAGGCAGGGGGCTGCTCCAGTGTCCCCCTACCAGCAGCACAACACGGAGGGCCGGTTAACTACAGGCAGTCCCCAGGTTACGTACAAGATAGGGACTGTAGGTTTGTTCTTAAGTTGAATCTGTATGTAAGTCGGAACTGGCATCCAGATTCAGCCGCTGTTGAAACTGATCAGTTTCTGCAGCGGCTGAATCTGGATGCCAGTTCCGACTTACATACAGATTCAACTTAAGAACAAACCTACAGTCCCTATCTTGTACGTAACCTGGGGACTGCCTGTAGTTAACCGGCCCTCCGTGTTGTGCTGCTGGTAGGGGGACACTGGAGCAGCCCCCTGCCTGCAACGCAGTGGATCCAGCTGGGCTGAGCACCCCTCTGTCTGTGGCTGCTCTACTGCAGTCAGGAGGCTGTTCTCTAAGAAAGCTGCTCAAGCTGGGCCTGACACACTGCGCTGCAGGTGAGCTACTCCGGCCAGACAGCACACTGGGTTAACCAGTTATCTGGGTAAGTATGCGAGTAAGGCAAATGTTTACCAGGTAACTAGGTAACCCTAGTATGTTGAAGGTTAAAATTAGCAGAAAAGGTTTATTTGAGGGGAAATGAAAGCTATCCTACAGAATAAATAAGCAGTAGAAAGGACCCAAGCAAAATGATCTTTCTATAAAGTGCTATTAACGCTATCAAGGACTTTCTAAGAAATGGTACATGGGAACTTACTCAGTATGCA